GCTGAAAAGCGCGTGCCGGAAGGTTTCCCGGCGTCCGAGACCCCGCGTTCCCGTGGGCTGTCTGCCCCGCCCCCCAGCCGGGGCCCCGCCCACCGCCCACCGCCTGCCGCTTGCGTCTGCGCGCTCGCCGGCTTCGGACGCATCACACCGACGGGACCGCACAGCTCGCAGCACAGCGTTGGGCGTCTGGCAGCTCCCCCTGGGCACTCACTTGGGGCTCGTCCGCGTGGCAGCACCGGCCAGCAGCGGCCCCCACAGGTGTCCACCGCGAGGACATACTGGATTAGCCTTTCCCCACAGCCCGCTCTTACCGGTGAGGCTGCCGAGTAGGGACACGCGTGTACATGTCTGTGTGCACGCGTCACCAGCTCTCTTGGGTGGAGGCTAGGACTGGAGTCGCTGGGTCCCTGGTACACTGATGTTTACCTTTTGAAGAAAGCGGCTGTTCCCTGTCCCACCAGGAAGGCATGAGGGTGCCCGGCGTCCCGCATCCTTGTCCACCCCCTTCCCACGTCCTTTTGTCCGCAGGCGTCCTGGGCGTGGGAACCGGGCCGCGCGTGCTGCCAGCGTGAGTTCTCCTGGTGCCCGAAGGTGCCCGCACCTTTCCGAACGCAACTGGACGTTTTCCCCGGGAAGACACCCAGCTTCCCTCCCCCACTGGTTCAATGTCTGACAAAAATTTTTGCCTGTTTTTTAAAAATTAGGTTGTTCATCTTATTATTACTTTAAAATTCCTATTTTGATTGTGCTAAAATACACATAACAATTTTAAATGTTTTTCTTACTTTTGAGTTTCAAATATTTTTATATATTCTAAATATAAGTCCCGCCCCAGCTGGTGCGGCTCAGTGGATTGAGCGCCGGCCTGCGAACCAAAGGGTCGCTGGTTCGATTCCCAGTCGGGGCACATGCCTGGGTTCCTGGTCAAGTTCCCAGTAGGGGGTGTGAGAGAGGCAACCACACATTGATGTTTCTCTCCCTCTCTCTTTCCATCCCTTCCCCTCTCTCTAAAAATAAATAAATAGATAAATAAAATCTTTTTTAAAATTAGATAAAATGCTTTAAAATACATATTTCAGGCACCTTCCACATGCTCCTGCTGCGAGACAGGGGCGATTGCCGGGGCCCACTGTCGGGCTCCCCTGCTTCCACGCACAGCCTCACGCCCGCTACGGGTTCACGTGGAGGTGCCCCCCGACCCGCTGGGTCCCCCCTGGGTGAGAGGGGGTGGTCTGCACAAGGGCCAAGTCTCGGGGCGGGAGTCAGGGGTGAGAAGGACACTTGTCCTGGGAACCTGGGGCCCGACACCAGGGAGGCGCCCTCAGAAATTTATGCTCAATAAAAGCAGAGGGCGGGGTGTTGACAGGTTGTCCCGGGTCCCACGGGTGGCGCGGGCACTGCTGCTCCCCAGCCCCTGCCTGACCCTCGCCCCACCAGAGCTCCCGGGTGCCTCCCAGGGCTGCCTCTTGCCCGCGCCCCCAGGGCCTCCAAGGCCGGCCAGCCAGCTGCCGCCCCGCCAGCTGCCGCCCTGGGACAACCTCCCTCCTTGGACGGGTCGGGGGTCGCAGGGCCTGACCCCGCAGCTGCTCCCTCTCCCCACCCACCCGTGTCCCGGCTGTCCACCCCCAGGGGAAACCGCGACCCCAGCCCCCCTTCCCAGCATCCTGGCAGAAACCAGGCCTCCAAATGGGACTGGGAGTGTGGGGGTCCCCACGCGGCGGCCCCGCTCTCCGCGCAGCCTTTCCAGCTCTGAGCAGAGCCACCCACCCCAGGCCCAACGCGCCCCGGGGGCGCAGGCGCGGGGGGCGCATCTGGTGATGGGTGGGGGGCACCCAGGTGGACACCCACCCAAGGCACCAAGTGACGCGGATTTCCAAGGCTGAGCAGCTGTCCCCCAGATGCCCGGGTCCTCCCGGCGGTCATCTGCCACAGCCCACGGGCCCCGACCCACGCTCCCGTGACCGTTTCTCACAGCCCGCAGCCGCCGTGCCACGTCCACGAGCTCGCAGACCGCGCCGCGGCCCCGCAGCCCGCGGCCCCCCACGTGGGCGAAGCGCAGCAAACGTCCGTGTGAATGTACACACGGCGGAGTCTGGGAAACACCCAGCGGCCCGAGCAATACGCCGCGATTGAAAACGAGCGTCCGAGCGAGATCTAACTGGAGGCTGCGCTGGTCGGAGACCGGTTCAGACGCAAGGCGCTGAGTGCGGGAGGGGGCGGGCTGGGGGCCGGGGGCGGGGGCAGGCGACGGGGCTGGGGGAGGGCGGGGGGGGGCGCGGGGTGCTGGGCCCCACCCTCGCTGCTGCCCCGGGACCCCGCCCCCAGCGCCGCCCCTCCCCGCAAAGAGCGGCCCGCAGCCGCAGCCACGCGCGGGGCACGCGCCGCGCACATTCTGCAGACCCCGCGCCCAGACCCCTCGGGCCGGCACAACCCCGAGCTACCGCCCACTCTTTCGTTCCTGCTCAGCTAAAAGCAGGTGTCCGCGCGCCCTCCTGTCCCCTCCCTCCGCAAGCCCTTTCCACTCGGGTCGCTCCGCAGGGCTCATCGGGTCAACGCCCGGTGGCACCTCCAGCCGCGCGTCGCGTCCCGGGACTCCCGGCACGCAGCCCGTCAGGACCCTCCCTCCCCCTGGGGTACTCGCCGCCGCCTCCCCCACTCCCTCAGCTCCACCCTCCTCCGCCCTCGGCTCGCGCCCACGGTGCCCACGCTGGCTCTGCGCCACAGCTCGGCGGCCTCTCCACTCGGGTGTCAAACGCAAACGAACAGGCTGAAGACAGGGCGCCCCACCCCGCGCGCTCCCTCCTGCCTTCGCCCTCTGCAGGCCCCCGGGCGCTCGGTCGAACGCGCACGCCATCCCGGGCTCTGCTCCCCATCCCCGCACCCCTGCACCAGGACATCCGGTTGGCCCCAGCATCAGACGCAGCCCGGGCTCACCGCCCTCGCCGCCTCCACAGCCGCCGCCCGGCCCGCGGCGGCGCCGCGGTCTCACCTGCTCAGCTCTCCCTGCTCTTACGCGCCACCCGCACCCCTGCTCCCACCGCCCCCAGGGTCCCACGACTCCTCCAAGCGCCTCGCTTCCCTGGGGGCAGAACTTCTTTTCGGTGGCTACAGGCGCCCCTGCCTCTCCGCCGCCGGTCGGCGGAGGGCCCCAGGCCTGTCGGTGTCACAGGGGTGCACGTGGGAAGAGACCCCCTCCCTTTCCTTAGAACCTTCTCTGCAGAAACTTGCCGGCTCCTTCTGTCCCTCGGAAATGATGCCAACCTTGTGAGAAGCTCAGGAAGCCTCCTCCTCGACAGTGTAGCAACCCGGGCGCGTTTTTATTAAACAGAAGGGAGCGGCCTGCCTGCCTGAAGTGTGGACAAGGGCGGCAGCGACCCTCTCCCCGTCTGGGTGGTGCTTTCCCGTATAGACGCGGGGCTCCGGGGCGGCGCTCCTGCCAGTCACAGGGACGAGAATGGTGGGCGGTTCCTTTGAGCACAGGGGAGGAGAGCGGGCGGCACGGACTGCGGGCACCTCGGGGTGCTGTCAGGTCCTCTTCGAAGAACTGTTATTGTGGTTAAATACACGTAAGATGAAAACGCCTGTTCTGACCATGTCAGTGCAGTGGTGTTGAGTGCGTTCGTCCGCAAGGTTGGGCAGTGGTCACTGCTATCGTCCGAACCTGCCACCCCAAACAGCAGCTCTGCACCCGCGAAACAGCGTCCCCCACCTTCCCTGCACCCCCACCAGGCTCCAGGGCACTTCGTGCATGCACCCCCCCACCCCCCGCCAACCCTGGTCCGCCTGCTCTAGAAGGCTCCCAGCTGGGATCGGACCCCGTGCGGCCGCCCCTCCGGCTGGCATCCCCGAACGCCCTGTTTCCAGGGTCGGCCCGGGGTGTGGCGCCCGCCAGCGTTTCATCCCCGTCTGCGGGTGCTGGGGGGTCCGTCCTGGGGCCGCAGAGCAGTCTGTGTGCCCACCCTCCGCGGGTGGGCGCTCGGGGGAGGGTCCAGCTCCTCCTCCTGCACGTGCTCATAGGCATCCAGCCCCTCTGTGGAGGACTGCCCTTTCTTCACGGACACGGTCTTTTCACCTGGCCGGAAACCCGCTGCCCGAGCAGGGGACGGTCACTTCCCCCACTCTCAGCTCTCTTCCCTTGGCCTCCGTGCCCGCCCTCCTGCCGGGACCCCACCCACCCACTCGCTCCCGAAAACGTGAAGCTGGTATTACCGTAGTTTTCCTTTGTAAATACTCTTTTTTCTGGGGGGTTTAACTGGCAAATCCATGAAAGGATCGCTGTGAGTCTGTTAACGGGCACACGGCGGACAAAGATTCGTCCGTGACAGTGAGGGGGTGGGGGTGGGGGTGGGGAGGGAGAGACACGGGTAGGAGCAGACTGTGCCCCCTGAAACTGGGCTGGGACAACTAGAGCTAGGCTGTTAGAAGGTTAAAAGATTTTAATTGTGATTCTCAAGAAAACCAGTAAGAAAATACTGGGAAAATATATCAGAAAGGAAAAAAGGAAAGCAAAATGATACACTAAAAAAAAAAATCAACTCAGTACCAAGAGAGGCAGGAATGCGGGGCCGAGGGACAGAGCCCGTGTAGGACACGCGGAAACACGGGACGAGCGGCAGAAGGGAGTCCGTCCTCCCGGTAGCCACGGCGCTGTGAGCGGACGCGAACTCTGCGGTCAGGAGGCTGCGGTGCGCAGAGCCCCTGGGAAACCCGGTCTCTCCGCACGCCGGGGGGGAGAGACGCACTGCAGACACAAGGGGACGGGGGTTTCAGTGCTGGGTCCATACGGGTTTTTTCATGTGATAAAAGACATTTTTCATTTTCACTAATAACTGTGATGTGGACATTTTGAGTATGTTGGCTGTCTCCCACATGGTATAACGCTGGTTGTTCTCAATTAGTATATTTTTTAAAAAAAGGTTTATTTATTTAATTTTAGCGAGAGGGGAAGGGAGGGAGAAAGCGAGGGAGAGAAACATCAGTGTGTGGTTGCCTCTCACGGGCCTCCTACCGAGGACCTGGCCCGCACCCCTAGGCCTGTGCCCTGAGCGGAAATCAAGCCGACAACCCTTTGGTTCGCAGGCCAGCGCTCAGTCCACGGAGCCACGGCAGCCAGGGCTCAGTCGGTGCTTTGATTTCATGGCTTCAGCTGGTCCCCCCGACCGTGGGGCATCGTCCGGCTAGAAATCTCCAGCACGAAACTTCGCAAACCACCTCTGACATGCTCGCCCAGCCCCGGCACCTTCTCCACACACTGCACAAACCATTTTACTGCATCTCAGCTGCATTTTCACCTTTCTTGAAACAATAAAGCATAACATGCTGAAAATGTTGCTTATTTTCTTCCATCTTCCATATTACAGTGGCTACACAAAAGTTAACCAATTTTGATAAGTTCTTTTAAGTGCGCGCTGACAGGACAGCTGTCACGTTGCAATGTAACCAAAGTGTTTCAAACGCAGTGAAAGAGAACCAAGCGCTACGAGGGCCGTCACACACACAAAACCCACACAAACATGTGGGCCCAGCCAGTAACGGAATGGCGGGAGTCATTCCACGCCGTCGCCACAGAGAGCGGGGGTGGTGCAGGGCTGTCACACGGAGTAGCTCTGCGCCAGGTGCCCTTGGGGACAGGCTCTTCCTCCTGAGGTCACGTGGGGGGGGTTGGGCCAGGCTGGCTCGGGGGCGGGGCGCGCCGTCTGCCTCCGCACTGGCCACGTGCTCGTTCGGCCGCCACGTGCTCGTCTGGCCGTTGTTTCTCCCGCACCTCCGCGGAGGGGACCCGCTGCGGGGGCGGCGGGCTTCGTTTCCGGCCGGTCCGCCCACCAGGTCCGCTCACCGCCTCACCTCCTCGGGGTTTTGCGCTCGGCCCCGCCGCCATCCCCTCCTCTGCCTGCTCTGCCTTTCCGTTGCGAACAGCTCTCTTTACGGCCTTTCCTCGTCTACACCTCCCTCTCCGGCCCCAGGCAGGGACCCGGGTCTGCTTTGCTCGCGGAGGGAGCGGGTATACAGCAGGCACTGGGAAAGCGTTGGTGGATGAATGAATGAACGAGTGAATGACCGAGTGAGAGTCTGATAGGCAGGCGCCCCTCGCCCCGCCAACCGCCAGCGCCCCTGCAGCAGCCCAGCCCGGCCCACAAGCTCCGCCCTCCCGACGTTCCGTCTTCCTGCCCCGTGGCTGCCCGCCCCGCACGAGGCGAGGCGGCGCTTGGCCCCACCTGCGCGCCTCTCCCCACCTCCCACCTGCCAGGTCCTGGCAGAGCCTGGCAGCCCATGCCCCTCACCACGGCAGCGTCAGCTTGCAGGTTGCTGGGGGCCCTTTTCTAACCCGGGCCCCCCCTTCCTGTTTGCTTCCCCAGCCCCCCACCCGGCCACTGGGCACCCCGTGGAATGGACTCGTTTAGCCTGTGTGTGGCCTGTCCCCGCCACGCACAGGTCAGCTCCAGGTGGGGTGACCGAGGTCTGGGCAGCTCGAGTTTTAGGGCAGGATGGGCCTCAGCGTGGCCACAGCGCCGGGCGGTGCAGAGCGCCTGCTCGTGGACCGGACGAGTGGGGCACACGAGCGTCCGAAGGCTCACCCCGGTTCACCTGTGGCCCTCTGCCTCCCTCATCACCCCCCGCGGTGGGGCCCGAGGCCATCGGCCCCGATCTCCCGGGCGGGCGTAGGCTGGTGGCACCCCTGGATGCAGTGTCCTGGGTGCGGTCTGGGGTCTCACACGGGGTGGGGGCTGGCAGGCGCCATCACATGCGTGGCCCCACCCTCACTCCACGGCAGTCACGGCCTGGGCCCGTTCTGACAGGTGCCCCCGTCACCCTGCCCCCACTTGCCCCAAGGGGCTGCCTGGCCCTGCAGACCCCACCTCTGTCCTTAAGGGACGAGGTGAGCCAGGGGGACAGGGGCGGGGGGGCCACGCTGGCTCTGCCCGCCCCCAGTCCTTGGGAGCTGCGGTGGCCCATGGAAGGAGGGACAGTGTTACCCGGACCGCCGTTGGCAGCGCATGGGCAGAGGGCAGCACTGTTGACCGTCCAGGGCCAGGTGTGGACGCCGGTCCCTCTGCGCACCTCTATCAGGTAGAGGCGATGCCCAGACTCCTGGTGGCAACTCAGGAGTGGAGCAGCCGGGGTCCTTGTGAGGGCAGACCCGGAGGGCTCAGGGCACAGAAATCTCGCTGCCAGGCCCAGGGTCCCTCGCTGGTCGCCCGGCACCGATGGCACACGGTGGCCCTCGAAGAGTCTGACGTGCCTTTGAGTGAGTGGCCCATCTGGCAGGTGGCCTTGGAGCCCTTGCTGCCCTGGCTGGGCGGGGCTTGGGGAGTGACCTCTGAGCGGCCTGACCTCTGGGGGCGCTGGGGCAGGCTGGAGGTGCCCGGGAGGCGTGTGGCAGGGTCCTTGGAGGGGCAGTGGAGGGAGCTGGGTGCTTGCGCGTGAGGTGGGGGCCGAGTGAAGGCCCAGCGTGGGCAATAGGGGGGCACCCCCGCCAGCATGGGGGTGCTCTGGGCAGGAGCTGGAGATAGGCCTGTGCCACCGGGCTGGTCAGCTATACAGAGGACAGGGCCACACCCCGCACGCCAGCACCTGGGGAAAGCCGTCCGGCAGGGAGGGCGGCTGTGACCACGGGGCGCCCAGAGGGAGCCTGGACCGAGCTGAGACAGGGCAGGCCAGGGGCCAGGTCATCTGAGGAAGGGGCGTCCCCCAGCCATCCTGTTGCCCACCCAGGGGGGTCAGGAAGGGGCCGAGGTCCTTTGCCGGAGTCCAAGCAGCCAGCCCAGCTGCAGGGGCCCCGCGGAGCTGCAGTCCTCCCGGAGCTGGCAGGGGCCTGGGCCCCGCGGCCGGGGGTCACCCCGCACTCTGAGCCTGGCCTTCTCCGTCAAGGTTCGGGGTGCCCAGGAGCCAGCTGGTCGCCACTGCACCCAGCAGTCCAGCCCCGGCACTTGCTTGTTCTTGATGAGACACCGATCTCAGCCAGCTGTCCCCTGGGTGGCAGCTGGGGACAGAAGTGGGGGGCTGGCTCAGTCAGACAAGGACGAACTCTGGGGCACACTCCCCAGCCCGCCCCCCACTGCGATGGGGGGAAGGAAAGGAGGCCGCAGGCCCGTGTCCTGTCACCGGGGGGCGGGGCGGGGGGTAGTCCCTGGGCCAGGAGCCCCCATCCAGACACCAGGCCTGGGGTACCTGTCATTGGCCAGAGGTGACTTTGTTGGGGAAGGAGACCTGGACTTGGCCAAAAAGCTCTGCTGGGGGCTCAGGGGAATGAAGGAGGAAGGTCTGGGGGACCTTCTGTGGGCCCTGGGGCCCTTCTTGGGGTGCAGGGGAGCAGACTCAGGCTGCCCTGGGATTGCTGTGACTCAGCTGGGCTCAAGGACGTTCTGAATTGCCCCCCCCACCGATCCCCCAGGCTGGCCACATGCTGGCCCCCCTGCCTCCACAGTCCCTGCTCTGGTCTCCACTCAGCGGCCAGGAGGGCGTGCAGGTGGGGGCGCCTGCACCCCACTCAGACCCCAGAGTCTCCTGGGCCCCCAGGAGGGGTCGCCAGCAGCCACCCCTGAGACCGGCAAGGTTACCTCTGTCTTCCGCCCAGCCTGAGGTCCCCGGAGTCTGGGCCCAAGGACGTCCCAAGCTCCTGGACGGGAGGAAACAGAGCCCTGGTCAGGGTGGGGGACACTCCGAAGAGGAGGCAGTGACACCCGCGCACAGGGCCAGGCTTGGCCTCCCGCGCCCCGCCCCCGGGCTCCCCCCACGTGCCCCCGGCCGAGGCCCGGCTCCCGCACTCACCGCACTGCAGGGCACACAGCCGCTGGGGGCCCGAGAAGAGCACGTCCGTCCTCTGGCCCTGCGGACACGGGCGGCTCCGTCAGCGTGCCCCACGGCCCCTCTCTCCACCCCGCCGAGTCCCCAGGGGGTCGGTGTGGGAGGCTGCTGGGTGGACGGGGCCCCAGAGCAGCTTTGGGGAGGCGGGAGCTCCCCGGCCACTGACAACAGGGGGGAGCGGGGGTTTGGGGGAAGAGCAAGGGTCTGGCACCTGGATGCAGGTGTCGGGCCCACAGGCCTCGTCCCTGGGAATGTCCACGAAGACGGGGTCCGCAGTGAGGTTCGCCTGTGGGCGGAGGAGCAGGTCACAGGCGAGGGGGGGGCAGACCAGGCTACCCCACGCCCCTGTCCCTCATGCACACGTGTGTGCGTGGCGCTCGGGCCCCAGCCTTCTGAGCACACTCGGCGGCAGGGGGCCATGGGGGCAGATCCTGGCCTGGTGGGGGACAGAGAGCGGGCCAGCAGGGGTCAGCCGCCCTCCCGCCCCAGGTGGTGCCCGCCCCCCGGCTCACGGAGGCTGGAGAGAGGGCGGTGGCCTGGGACATTCCGTGGCAGGCGAAGGGCCACATCTCCCTTCGGTGACACAGGCGCACCTGGAAACGGGCGGGGCTGGGCGAGGAGAAGGCGACCCGGAGGTGGGTCCTCGAGGGTGCCGGCTGGACGGTCATCTTCCAGGCTGCGGGGGTAGAGGGGTGAGGCCCAGCTCCCAGCCCACGGCCATCCTGCCCGCCCCGGACCCAGCCCCCTGTGGTCCTGCCCTGTTACTTGCTGGGTCCACACTGCAAAGGCCACAGCCGGCCTCGCGGGGCCCCGGGGCCGCTCACCTGGGAAGCCTGGCCGTTGGAAAGGGCAGCTCACCCAGAAGCCCCGGCCGGTGGAGAACTGCAGAGAGGTGAGGGACAGGGTGCAGTGGGGTGTGCAGCTGCGGGGCTGCTGCGGGCCCCCTGGGTACACCCCCACCCCAGCCCTTAGCCCCACCCACTGTCAGACCAGGAGGGGGTCAGAGAGGCTGCTGGGAGGCCGGACAGCAGCCTGAGCCAGGCCTGCGGGGTGTGGGCCCTTCCACCTGCCTCCTAGCCCCCTCCACGAGCTTTTATAGTGCGTCCACGGTCCGCCAGCCTGGCCCACTCACCTTGAGGCAGAGCTGAGGCTGGGTGTCCACCGGCGAGTACTGCACCTGAGGGGGGCGCAGGTCAGGGCAGGGCTGGCCGGGCTCACCCCTACCCCCGCCTGGCGGCCACTCACCCTGCGGTGTGCAGGCCGGACTGAGTGCTTCAGCTCCTGGCACTGGGCCCCTGGGTCCGGGCGCCAGCACAGGCTCACGTGGCCGCTCACCGGACAGGCCGGCTCCCAGCTCAGCGCCTGGCTCTCTGGGTGGTAGCGGATGGCCTCCCACAGTGCCTCTGTGTCTGCGGGGACCCGCCCCCCACCCCCGGGGGCTCGAGTCAGCTGGGCGCTACCTCGGGGGCCAGTGAGCCCCAGGACCCGGCACCCGCGAGACGCGTGCACCAGGGCCAGGGACTCGGCGGCGGCGGCTCTCCGTGGGTCTCTGGCCTGGCCGGAGTCCGTGCACTTGCGTGTGCGGCGCCAGGAGCAGAGGGCCAGGATCCCTCTTGCACGCCCAGGAGCCCCTCTCGGCAAGACGTGGTAATCTTCCAGGGAAGACAGGCTGCGGCACGTGCCGCGTGCACACAGGCACGCGCATGCGCACGCACGCTCGCGGTGTCCGCTACCTTGAGAGCGCTCGCCCAGCAGGCGCCTCTGACCACGTGTCATCCAGAGCCAGCCCGGGGCAGAGGCTCTTCCCGCGGACCAGGCCGGCCACCACTCAGCTGGACACTGCCGACTCGCCCGCCCCCCACCCTTCTGTCCTCCCTCCGCCCCGCCCCGCCCCGCCCCTTGGCACCACAGGGCACTTGCCGTTCTCAAAGGGGCAGGTCTGGGTCCGCACTGCATCTAGGGTCGCAGACCAGCTCTGTGGGAGGGGCTAGGGTCAGGCCGGACCTGTTCGTCCCTTGGTCCCCTCCTGCAGCCGAGGTCACCCTCTCACTCACCTCTAGGCACAGGCAGGGCAGCTCCTGGCTGTAGGGCAGAGAGACCATCCGGGAGACGCTGTTCGCGGTCACCTGCAGCGGATCCAAGCCAGCGTTAAGGAACTGGGGTCCAGGGCGGGGCGGGACCCGGCCTGGAGTGGGTGGGCCCAAGAGCAGAGGGGCGTGGTTTCTGGTGGTGGGCGTGCCCTCGGAGGGTGGGGTTTGTGGTGGGCCTGGAGGGTGTGGGCGGGGCCTGGGTAGGGCTGGGCCTCGAGCCTGAGGGCGTGGCCTGAGCCCGAGGTAGCGTGGTGGAGGCGTGGGATGGGCTGGGGCTCACCCGCACTAGTGCGCCTGCGTCCTCGCAGGCGATCCACTTAAGACAAAGTCGCATGAAGTAGTCGGGGCCCCCGGGGGCCTCGGGCACTTGTACCACAATGACCTTGCGGCTGCGGTCCACCCGGTAGGGTAGCTTCCGGGCTGCAGGGTGGCAAGGGGGGCTACACTGGGACCAGAGGTACCAGACACAGGGTCCCACCTGTCCTGAGAGCCCCGAGGTGGTGACCTGTGCTAGACCCTGGCATTTGGGGGTCTTTCACCTGAGGACCCATCTCGAGTTCCTAAGTGGGGCAGGAAGAAGACCCCGGTGGCAGGGCTGTGGTCCCCGCAACAACCTGAGGGTCTGCTCAGGCAGGCTGTGGCCCCACCTGAGAAGAAAGCTCACCAAAGCAGTCTGGCACGTTGCTCCTCACGTCCTCGTCCCCGCAGTCTGCGAATGACAGACACGATGGTGGACCCAGCCGGCCCTGCCCCAGGGGCCATCCCCCTAGCTGGGCCTCTGTCCGTGTGGTTTCCAGAAGTCCCTCCTCTCCGGGGAGGCAGTGACCCCAAATTAAGCCAGATGGTCTTGTCCGGAGCTGCCCAGCTGGGGCCCTGCCCCTACCCTGGGTGACTCCCACCCCACGCCAGCCCCTCGAAGCCAGAGGGCAGCCGTGCCCGGGCCGGCCCCCTGGGCTCTCACCTTTCACATGGTACTGCTGCTCCAGCTGGACCCCACAGAAGTGGGGGACAGTCCTCAGGGTGACGTAGAGGCTCTGGGCCACGCCCACCTCAAAGCAGTCGAAGTGCACCTGGAGCTGGGCAGGGACAGGTGTGAGCCAGGTGGACCCGAGGACTCCACGGCTCCACCCTGCCCAGCTGGAACCCAGGATCTGGAAGCAGAGGGGGAGTGACGGCCACTCCCTGGGCCCTGGGCGGCAGAGCCCCAGGACAGGCTGTGGCCAGGTGGCCGGGAGAGGACGGCAGACAGAGCAGGTCAGGGGACAGCTGCTGCTGCTCCGCAAAGGCTTAGGGCTGGACTCTCAGATCCGGGTCAGACCCGCCTCACCTGCCGCCCCTCCTGCTGCCGGCGCGAGGCCCTGGAGACCCGCACGCTGTGACACTGAGTCTCCTGGGTGTCCAGGCTCATGGAGCAGGCCTCCAGGCCCCGCAGGCTCTCTGGGGGGGGGAGGGCCGGGCGGCTCGTCAGGCCAGAGGAAGGGAGACCCCTTCCTCCCCTCCCCTCTGGGAAGGGCACGCAGCGGGCTCCGACGTGGGGGTTAGGGGAGCCCCGAACCCACCGCCCGCCCCCGGGCGCCACCCTCTCACTGTGCAGCGTGAGGGAGGCGCGCACGTCCAGCAGCAGGGAGCAGCCGCCCCGGGGGGCGCACTTCATGACGGTGGAGAGTGTCAGGGCCCCCAGGACTGGCGGGGCCACGGACTCGGGGAGCGGCCGGCAGAAGCTGTTCAGTATGTTCCCTGGGGAGGGAAGGGGGGGCAAATGCCACAGGGTCCTGACACCTGGGGGGAGCTCTGTGGGGGGTGAGCCGGTGGGGAGAGCGTGGGGCTGCCCTGCTGTGGGGGGGGGGTCCTCACGCGCCTCCCAGTGTGGTCGGGGAACCAGTGCCCCAGGGAGGGGCGGCCCACCCCCGGGCCGCGCTCGGACTGTCCGTCGGCGCCAGGAGTGGGGCCCAGGTCAGCGGAGCAGGCTGCACTGAGCTGAGGACAGGGGGCCAGCGGTCTGGGCGGGCGGAAGTGGCCGGAGCCGGCAGGACAGAGCAGGAGAGACGAGAGAAGGGCGCGGAGGAACTCTGGAGAACGTTCCGGCTGCTGAATCCTCAGCGGAGCGTGGAGGGGTGGGGCCTGTGCGGGCCCTCCCTGAGCGGGGGGGGGGGGGGGGGGGATAGCCTCAGGGACCCGAGGGGACGGGCCCTGCACCACGGGCCCTGGGGACCGCGACCGGAGCCCCACCTCAGTGGGGGGGCGCAGCTGGCCTCGGACAGCGCTGCTCTGGCCCCGCCCGACAAATCTTAGAAGCTAGCCCCCCGAACATCAAGCTGTCTCCGAGTGAGTCAGCTGCACGCCAGAGAAGCCTCAGGAGTATTCGTGGGAGTGAAAATACGTCCTGCACACAACAGGTTAACATTCAATCAGGAAAGTACAGTCCTTGCGAGGCATCATGGAAAACACAACCCAAAACGAGGAGAAAAATCAATGAATCAAAACTGACGCAGATGTCAGAATTAGCAGAAACCAACAGAGATGTCAGAATCAGCAGAAACCAACAGAGATATCAGAATTAGCAGAAACCAACACAGATGTCAGAATTAGCAGAAACCAACAGAGATGTCAGAATCAGCAGACAAGAACATGAAAACACTGATTGTAACTGTGCTCCCATGTTCAAAGTGTTAATCAGAGGCACGGGAGACGTGTTTTAGAAAATGCAACTCCAACGTCTAGAGATGGAAACTACGTCTAAGAGGAAAACCACATCAGACAGAATGAAGGGCACATTGGACACTGACCAAAAAAGCGAAGACCGGGGGAGTTGCCATAGCAATAGGAATTATCCCAAGTAAACAGACAGCGATGATGACAGTGTGACGAGCACACCGCCGTAACAATAGAAGACGCATCCGTGAGCCGTCTGTGGAATCCGAGTTCCGGGAAAAAAATGGGGGAGCTGGAAAGAGAACCTGGAGAGATGACTCCAATGGCTCCAACGTGAAAACTCTGAACCCACAGACCCGAGCAGCTCGCCGGGGGGTCAGCACGAGAAGTGCAAGGAACGTCACAAGCAGGCACGGCGTGAGCCGTTTGCTCACAGCCGCCGAGGACGAGACAATGCGGAAGGCACCAGGGGGCAGGGGACCCGTCCTGCCCGCACGGAGGGAGGGACAGAGGCGAGAATGGGGCGGTTTCCTGTCGGACGTGGTGCCAGGGAGGGGCCTGGAGAAACCCTCTCAGGGAGAGAGAGACAACCCCGCCAGCCTGGAGCTCTCCCCCAGCAGCCTCTCTTTCGAAAGGAAGGGCAAGGAGAGGCCCCATTCGCGTACAGAAGGCGGAGGGTTCCCTCATCGGCAGACCCGAACGACAAGTCCGTGGGGCAGGAAGGAAAACGACACCAGATGGAAAATACGCCAAAGGAATAAAGAACACCAGCGAGGGTCACCCCGCGGGCAAACGTACGAGTCACGTTCTCATCGCTTAAATCTGTCCGAGAGTCAGCGGTTCAGGCGAGGTAACAGTACTGCCCCGTGGAGGTCAGCGCACGTGTGACAGGGGCAGGTGTGGGGCCAGCAGCACAGGTGCCCGCGACGGGCGGCGCCCGCTGCGCTGACGTCCCCCGTGACCCCGGGAAGGCAGAGCGCGGCGAGCTAAGGATGTGTGTGCGCACCCCGAAGGAGCCGCTGAGGCCACAGAACGAGGGGTCTGACCAGTGAGTCGGCGGAGGAGGCGGGATGGAGTCGCGCACACGTTCAAGCAGCCCGTTAGCCAGAAGGAGGCAGAAACAGCAGCGGAGGAGGGAGAGATGGGGCAACAAGCAAACAAGGAGACAATAAAGTTAATCCTGCCCGTGTCCGTGACCACACGACAAGCAGACGTTCAAACGCCACCGTTAAAGCACAAGCATTTTCGGAGACCCGACCACGCGCTGCCTACGAGAAGTGCCCTTTAAATATAAAGGCACGGGTTGGTTAAACGAAATAGGATGAGAATGAAAAAAGACATGGATGCTAAGACTAATTTTTAAAGAGCCGAAGGGGTTAACACCAGGAGACACAGGTTTCATGGCAAAGAACGTGACCAAAGACAGAGACGGCCGTGTCCCCGTCACTCGGGGAGCCCGTCCCCGGGAGGACGGGACACCCCTGTGAGGCAGGAGGCAGCATAGAAAGAACTCTGAGACTGCAGTACTGTCACTGGCCAGCATTCAGCACCCTGGTTGCCAGGAAACGCCCTTTACCAATTAGGAGGAATAAATAGTAAACCGAGGCAGGGAGGAGGGAGGAGACAAGTCTCACATATGAACTCGGCAGTCCTAAGTCTGGTCTGATAATATCGCCAGGTGTTTCAATATCACAAGAAACACTATATTAGCAGGAAAGAGCCCATAAATCGAGTTTGGTTAATTGCCTACCTCTGGTCACTATCTGTTTTATAAGGGAGTCCCTGATGCTTACAGAAAGAGCCCATAAATAACTTTGGAAATTGTCCCAAAATTTAATTAACTGCTTCCTGTTACGTATTTGTTTTACAACAGGATGACCAAATGGGGTCTGGACTAAGATAAGAATTCAGGCAGACAGACCCCCATGCATCCCTAAATTTGGGTAGTCACGTCCCCCCAGGAAAGCTGGCACCACATTTACCGATTAATCAATATGTAACTTTTTCTCTCCTATGCCACCTACTATATACCTGCTGAGAACAAAGGACTCTCTCTCTCTCTCTCTCTCTCTCTCTCTCTCAGGGGCTCAGGGGGCTCTTGGCTGTCGGGCCACAGGGCCTCTGGCCACCCGGCCTCAGGCTGCCCAGGGGCTTGCCGCCCTGGTCTCCAGCCGCTCTTGCTTTTCTCACCCTGCTTTGCCCTGAAACTTTCCCTTTCACCCCCTGATCTACCCAGTCCTGTTCTCTTCCATGGAAGCGGACCACTAATACACTGATTCCATACTACTAGATTTGCTGATATGTGATTCTGTCCATGCGTCAGCAAGAAGAACCAGGTCTCTCCCGTCAACACCTGCACGCCCGTGCCCGCAGCGGCGGGGCTCCACGGCGCGTGGACCAGCGCGCAGCCGCAGCTGGAGGTCTGGAGACTCCTCTCTGCAGCCGACAGGACCCGCAGACGGAGACTCAGGGAAAACTCTAGCCGCCTGTGCAAGGCACTCAGCCACCTGACCTGGCTGGCCTTACGGAACGCGCATCCTGATGGCCACAGACTCTGTTCTTCTTTTTATTTTTTTAAAGCTATTTTTAACAAGATTTTATTTATTTTATTTTAGAGAGAGGGGAAGGGAGAGAGGAGAGAGAGAAACAGCAACGTTTGGTTGCCTCTCGCACGCCCCCTACTGGGGACCTGGCCCACAACCCAGGTTTGTGCGCTGACAGAGAATCGAACCTGTGACACTTTGGTTCACAGGCTGGTGCTCATCCCACTGGGCCACACCACCAGTGGGGTGGATTCTGCTTTTCAAGGCACATGGAACACTTTTCAAGATGAACCACATTCTGGCCCATTCAACAGCCTCAATAAATTTAAAAGAATTCAGATCATGCAAACCATCTTCCCTGACAAAGCTGTAATCAAATTAGACATTAGTAAAATATTTCTGGGAAATCCCCAAATATTTACAAACTAATCAACACACTTCTAAACACCCATAGGCCAAAGAAAAACACAAAACCAAAAATCACGGACTCCCTGGAACTGAGTGAAAAGGAAAAGACAGCACATGAAAGACTGGATGCTGCCACAGCGGTCCTGGGGCGGGGGGGGGTGCAGCACTGAACCCCTAACCCCTGCACTGGAAGAAAAAGACTGGCCTGGCCGGGCAGCTCAGCTGGCTGGAGCCCCGTTCCAAAATACCCAGGGGGCGGGCCGATCCCTGGTCGGGGCACACACGAGAATCAACCAATGAATGCATCAATAAATGGAACAACAAACTGATGTTTCTCTCTCTAAAATCAATAAATAAAAAAGTTTTACAAGAAAGATTCACATTAGTGACCTCAGCTGTCGCCGTAAGGCGTCAGAGAAAGAAAGGTAAACACACACCTTAAACCAATACTGTGTCGTTAAAAGTCAATTATATTGCAGACTAGAGGTTGGTGGTTGGTGGGGAGGAGGGGGGAGGAAGGGGGAGGAGGGGAGGAAGGGGGAGGGGGGGAGGGAGGGGAGGGAGGGGGGAGGGAGGGGAGGGGAGGGGAGGGGGGCACCGTGGGGAGCCCTGGGGCCATGGAAAAACCCGCGCTCCGGCCCCGGGCGGAGCTCCGCAGGTGTGCACACACGTCAGCCTGCGCAGGCGGGTGGTGGACGGCCCGTGCCGGCCCTGTGTCAACAAGGCACAGCGGCCACTTCCCGCTCCCTGACGTGCGTGGGGAAGGAGGCGGCAAGCGTCCAAATCCCCCCCGCCGTGGCTGCCCCGTGGCTGCCCCGTGGCGGGGGTTTCTCCCAGCTCAGTTTACCGCCATCAGAAACGGGGGAAAAGAGGACAATAAAACAACAAAAGCCTCTGACACCCAGGGCGCAACTGTCTTTGATCCCTGAGGGTCTCGCCATGGGTGGGCCCTGGGCTCCTCAGTGGCCGAGGGAGAGACGGGGAGGGGCTCGGGGGACCCAGGCTCCCTCCGCCTCTCCCACCAGACCTTTGGCGACTTATGGACAAGAACACCAACGAGGGAGTCTGTCGTTGCCCCCACGGGCCGGCAGTGCGCACGGTGTCGGCGACACGCCCTGCTCCAGCTAGCGGGAG